CTTCCTTCCTTCCTTCCTTCCTTCCTTCCTTCCTTCCTTCCTTCCTTCCTTCTTTCCTCCCTCCCTCCCTCCCTCCCTCCCTCCCTCGGAGTCCCACTCTGTTGCCCAGGCTGGAGTGCAGTGGCACAATCTCGGCTCACTGCAATCTCCGCCTCCTGGGTTCAAGCGATTCTCCTGCCTCAGCCTCCCGAGTAGCTGGGATTACAGGCATGCAGCACCATGCCCGGCTAATTTTTGTATTTTTCGTAGAGACGGGGTTTCGCCATGTTGGCCAGGCTGGTCTCAAACTCCTGACCTCAGGTGATCTTCCTGCCTCAGCCTCCCAAAGTGCTGGGATTACAGGCGTGAGCCACTGCACCCAGCTCTATCATTTATTTCTACCCTGTTTTCGGAAAATGTTTCAATGTAACTGCTTAGCTGAGTATGCCTCTGGGCACTGTGCTGATTTGAGGCAGGCCCCGGGCCATGTTTCAGGGGGTGTCCTGTCCTGAGTGAAGGGACCTTTTGGGTACAGCTTTTCCTGTTCACAACCTCGTACAGCAGCCACACTCTCTCATCCTGCTGCTCATCCTGCTGTTCCTCTTCTGTTAAGAAAGGACGGCAAGGATAACAAAGGCAGCACCTTACAAAGTTGTTGGGTAGAGGATATGAGAAAGGATTAACACAGGGGCTGGCGCCGCAGACCCCCATGTCGATGTTAGTGTTTGTGTTTTAGAACCAGGTCAACTAGAAGTTCTACTCTTGCCTGTGGTCAGTGTGACTCCTATGAATTAGGCTTTTCTACAGTGTGACTCCTGTGAACTAGGCTTTTCTACAGTGTGACTCCTGTGAACTAGGCTTTTGTGCAGTGTGACCCTGTGAACTAGGCTTTTCTACAGTGTGACCCTGACTCGGCTTTTCTACAGTGTGACCCTGTGAACTAGGCTTTTCTACCTGTGACTCCTGTGAACTCGGCTTTTCTACAGTGTGACCCTGTGAACTAGGCTTTTCTACAGTGTGACCCTGTGAACTAGGCTTTTCTACCTGTGACTCCTGTGAACTCGGCTTTTCTACAGTGTGACCCTGTGAACTCGGCTTTTGTGCAGTGTGACCCTGTGAACTCGGCTTTTCTACAGTGTGACCCTGTGAACCAGGCTTTTCTACAGTGTGACCCTGTGAACTAGGCTTTTGTGCAGTGTGACCCTGTGAACCAGGCTTTTCTACAGTGTGACTCCTACGTATTAGGCTTTTCTAAGAGGTCTTTTTTTTTTATTCTTTTAACAGGAGATGGGCAGTGGCTGGCCTGTGGGTTGTCCAACCATCTATCACTCGTTTTTGGTGCCAGCCTGACTGGGACACCTGCTGTGTTTTCAGGTAAAACGTGTCTTAATTTCCGTCGGTATGAACCTAAGGATGGGTCTCACTTGGGTCCTGGTTGTCAGTTGCTAAAGGACACTTGTTTCCTTCAGGACATCAGCAGAACAAAACCACAGCTTGAATTGGGGTCTAAACTGGATTCACTGAGATCTTAAACCAAACAGGGTAAACATTACTCATGAGAACAGCGTGGCAGCACTTCCGTGGCTGGTGCCCTGGAGGCCAAGAGCCAATCATCTGTAGAGTTTTAGGGGAGTGAGTGAAGTTGAATCCTAAATAATTTAAATATATTTAATTAATGTAATCAAAAGGCATACAGTTGAAATACATTTTGAAATTTAGTGGGGTTTGTACATAGAGATTTTTATAAACGTAACAAAGCAAACTATTTTCTTTTAAAAGTAGATCTGAGAGAAACAGTGTTAAAATTATGACCATTTCAACTCATAACTGGGACATGTATTTGATTCCTAATTCTAATTCCATAAAACCTGATAGCTCTTCGTTAGGGTCCTGATACTGCTTGCCTCAGAACTTACACTTGGTAGATATTTTAACCAAAGCACAGAAACAACAAAAAATATCTCACTAGTCCTTCTGTTTTATACAGGTTTAGCATCCCTAATCCAAAATTCTGAAATCCAAATACCCCGAAATCCAGAACGCTCTGAGTGCCGACATAACACCGAGGAGATGCCCGTTGAAGCATCTCAGATTTCGGATTTTCGGGTTAGGGTTGCTTACCTGCCCTAATGCAAATATTCCACAATCGGAAAGAATGGGAAATCCAAAACACCTCTAGTCCCACGCATTGTGACTATGGGACACTCAGCCTGTCGCGTGACCACCCCAAGGGCAGTCGTTAGGAAACATGGAGGTGGGGCCGAGTGGGGCTGAGATGGGGACGGAGGCAGCGGGAGCCAGGCCCAGGTAAGGCCACATCTGGGAACAGATGAGCGCCCCCAGTGACTCCGGCCTCACGCCCTCTGCTTGCTAATGCCCGGGGCCAGGTCTCGGAGGCCCCCAAGGGCAGGCAGAGCTGGACTCGGCTCCTGCATGAGCAAAGCTGCCGCCCCTGCATGGTCTGGGCAGAGCACGGTTCTCCGGTCTTGGCCTGGATGCCACCCTTGCCCTTCAAGCCCCTTGCTTCTGGTCCCACCCCACATCTATCCGGCAGCCTCAGAATCTTCGCCATGCGCCCGGGAGCCCTGAGCCGGCCTGTTTCGTTGATTGATAGGAGTGGTTGTTCTGTTGACGTGGATGTTTCCCTGTGTATTTTATTGTTGGAAAAAGGGCTTCTCACTGAACTAAGAAAATGCAGTGGTTTTTCAAATTCATCTTTACAAAAACTTGCTCTGTTTCTGTGTGGGGGAAAAGTGCCACATTTACCCATCTCAACTGCACAAGCCACATCGTTTCACTTTGGGTGTGTAAGGTTTAATAGTGACATCACTCAATGTTGAAAATGTGACTGGTCTCTCAGCACCTGCCCAGAACACAGAAAAATGAGTGTCTTTATTTCCATTATGATCTGGGACAAATAAGTATAAATTCAAATTTCCTCCTGGAGAGTTCAGGGGCCTCTGAGCACATAGTCAGGTAGCACATCCCATCCTGAAAACCACTGAGAGCAACCGTATTTAATTTAATAAAGGAGTTATGTGTTTCTGCTTTAGATTATAGAATTTTTCCTATCAAAAATTGTGTCTAGTCCAAAGACAGGTACTTGAGTCCCAGGCCTTCCGCCAAGCATGTGCCTGGCACAGAGTAGATTCTCAGCGATACGGGATGGCGGGTTCTGAGCGCGCTGCGCAGGAGAGCTGCGTCGTCTGTACGCGCCCTGGAGCCAGTGGTGATCGTTGTGAAGTTCTGGGGTCAGGCATTTCGGAAGATTAAATCTAAAATTGCATTACAGATAGTGGAATTGTATAAAAAAGAAATCTTTGTCAAGGTATGAAGTGAAGATCTGTGTCTCTCCTGTTCCTGAGGTTTTGGTTGTGGCTCGAGCTGCGCTGAGTGGCTTCCTGCACACGCTGGCCCCGATGCTGCTTATGTCCCTGAGCGGAGGCTGCACACGCTGGCCCCCATGCTGCTTATGTCCCTGAGCGGAG